CCTGGGACTTGCCCTCTCACCCTCAACCCACGTCTTGAAGGTACGAATCCATGTACCAGGTTCAGGAGGAGGATATCCCCTTCCTCCTCCGCCACCCCAAGCTGAACTCGGTCTTGGTGGAGTCCTCCCAGGGCAGAGAGGCAGGAGGTCACACTGCACCAAGGGACAAGGAGGGCTGAAAGATCGACTCCCTGGCCAGGAGAGTCTACACCGCTTCAGGCCTGGGGCTGCGTATCTCAAATTACGAGGCGACATTGGCGAGGTATCAATACTTCATCATGCAACGCCTCCACAATGTCGCCTCGACCCTCCCGGACCACCAGGGCGACCTGGCCAAGGTCCTCATCAAGGAGGCAATGCAGGTTGCTGTCCAACAGTTGTCCACAGCCAGGCACCATGTGGACACAGACTCGAGGGCCTTGGTTGGTGCTGTTTCACTCCGGAGACACGCCTGGCTAAGAAATTGTAACTTCCCAGAGGAGACTAAACGTCGGATAGAGGAAATGCCCTTCGATGGGTCCGGGCTTTTCCACTCGCGCACAGACCACAAATTGAAGAAGCTACATGAATCCCGCATGATGGCACGCAGGATGGAGATACAGACCCAGACCAGGCATAAGTGGTCATGGACTCGTCCATCTTATAGGCAGTCCTACCATCCTAGACAGTAGCACCAGCACCAACAGCAGCAGCAACAGCAGCGCCGCCGTCCACAGCCCCAGCAACGCTATCAGCAGAGCCACCGCCGCTTCAATGATAGGAGACAGCGTTGACGGGACTGGCAAACCTTTCCTCTGCCCTTTTCCATACCCACCCCCCTCTCATCTGGGGATTGGCTCCGAAGCTGACTCCCCATTTGGGAGTCCATTACATCTGATCGGTGGGTATTGTCCATCATTCAGCACAGCTATCGGATAGAATTCGACATTGTTCCTCCTTCGAGTCCGATCCGGTTTACATCATGCTCGCCGGTACTACTCGATGAAATACAATAACTTCTTCATAAAGGAGTGATTCGTCAAGTTACCCCACCTGATGGACTCCACGGATTCTATTCCAGATATTTTACGGTCCCGAAATGGGATGGTGGTCTACGTCCAATTTTGGACTTAGTAATTTGAATCGATTTATCTTGATGAAAAAGTTTCGAATGACCAACCTTCAAAATATTTTGCCACTGCTAAGGAAAGAGGATTGGTTCACCTCATTGGACTTGAAGGACGCCTATTTCCACATTTCAATCCACCCGAGTTATAGGCGTTTCCTTTGCTTTGCTGTTGTACCCCATTTCTACGAATTTACAGTTTTACCTTTTGGACTGGCCACTGCTCCGAGAGTATTCACCAAATGTATGGCCCCTGTCTGCGCCTTCCTATGCCTCCAAGGCATACAAATTTACCCGTATCTTGATGACTGGCTGCTAGTGTCCCAATCTAGGGAAGGACTCCTCGCATCCATCCGTACAACCTGTGCCTTGTTGGACAATCTGGGCCTACGCACTAATACCGAGAAATCTTCTCTTCTTCCAACGCAGACGCTTACCTTCATTGGAGCCCGCCTAGATTCGACATTGGAGAAAGCCTTCCTTCCTCGGGACAGACAACAGATTCTTGCTCGCCACATCCACCGAATGCGATGAGACAGGATGGTCCCGGCAAAGTCCATCCAGAGGCTCCTGGGGCATATGGCTTCCTCAGTTGCGATGGTGCCACAAGCCAGACTTCGACTCTGTCCATTACAACTCCTCTTCAACAAGATGTTCCACCCACAGAGAGACCCACCGTCAAAATTGATTCGAATCCCATCCTTGGTGCTCCATTGTCTGCTCTGGTGGTCGGTACTAGCCAATTTGACTGTTGGGGTTCCCTTCAGGCCCCGGGGTCCTTCAATAACCCTTGGTACTGATGCATCTCTTCTGGGATGGGGAGCGATATGCTCCGGTCTATACTCCGGTGGAATTGTCGAGAATCCATGAATCATACCAACTTCCTGGAGCTGCTGGTAGTATTCAAGGCCCTACTCTCTTTCGAGGACGTTCTCCAACATCGGGTCGTTCAGATAACTTCGGACAACACAGCCACCGTCTTCTGTCTGAACAAACAAGGGGGAACAAAATCACCGACTTTGGCCAGACTTTCAATGAAAATTTGGGACTGGTGCATTCCGAGGGACATTACGCTGATGGCTGTCCATCTAGCTGGTATGGACAATGTGCAAGCAGACCTCCTCAGCAAGCACATGTTCATCTCTCACAAATGTGAGCTAGACCCTCGGACGCGCGACCATCTCTTTCATCGCTGGGGGTTCCCTGACGTGGACTTATTCGCCACCCAACAGAACAAGGTGTGTGATGCTTACTGTTCGAGAGCAGGAATCGGGGACGGATCCTTAGGGGATGCTTTCATGATCCCCTGGAACAACCTGATCTTTTACGCCTTCCCTCCAATCCCTTTTATGATGAGAGTCATAGAGAAGATAGTATACCATCGAGCCTCGGGGATACTAATTGCCCCTTGGTGGCCACGCCAAGCTTGGTTTGCGACACTGCTCGACATCTCTCACGGCGAATATCTCCATCTACCACTGCTTCCGTACCTCATAACTCAACAGGGCGGTACGCTTCACCACCCGGATTTACTGTCATTGAACTTAACAGCGTGGCGAATCCGATCGCTTCCATTGAGCCACCAGTATCGACAACGACTTCAAGTGATTCGAATCTTGCCATTGAATCCAGTCGGTTCGGCATTTCCTCTTCATTTCTTCCTTCCGTACCATCAGATTCGAGGATTGACCTGTCGAATCCGACAGCCTTTCATCCTGATATCTAGCACATCCTTGATTTGGCTTTAAAGTCCTACGCGGCTAAATGGAGATGATTTTCTACCTTTGCTGAGTCTTGTTTGTTCTCTCCATTTACTTCATCGATACATCAAATCCTTCAGTTCCTATTAGAACTGCACCATTCTGGATTAAAATTGTCTTCAATTAAAGTGTATACGGCAACTATAGCCTACCATCGTGGCTTAGTTGACGGATTACCCATCTTCTCTCAACCTACTGTTAAGAGGTTTCTTAAGGGACTTCTAATCTTAATCAATCAGGCCAGTAATGCCTACCTGGAGTCTTTCTGTTGTTCTGCAAGTGCTTACAAGAGCTCCTTTTGAACTATTGGCAACAGTCGATCTACATCTGGTTTCATGGAAGACAGCGTTTCTTGTTGCAGTCACTTTGGCCCGAAGGGCCAGTGAGCTCTGCGCTCTCCACATAGACCCTCCTTACCTGAATTTTCACAGAGAAAAGGTCGTTTTGCGCCTCGACCCATCTTTTCTTCCTAAGGTGGCTACACATTTTCATATGGGACAGGATATTATCTTACCTGCCTTTTTTTCCGTCACTGTCAACTCCATTAGAAAGATCCTTGCACTCACTTGACATTTGGTGCTGCTTAGCCTTCTACAGGTCGATGACTGAATCTATTCGAAGTTCAAATAGACTAGTCATTAAATATTCCACCAGAGATCAAGGCGATCCAGTCACTCCACAGAGACTTTCCAAGTGGATAGTCCATACTATAACCTTGTCCTGTCAACTGGCTAAGATTGATTTACCTATAGCCCCTCGAAGCCATTCGACTAGAGCTGTTGCAGCCTCATCTGCCTTTGCATCGGGGGCCCCGATTGATGATGTATGCTGAGCTGCTACTTGGACGAACCCATGCACTTTCGCCAGGCATTATCGTCTAGACGTTCTGGTTCAGCAGGATTGCTCCTTTGGCAGAGCTGTTCTTTCATCTGTTCTTCATTGAGGACACCTCCTCTCCTCCTTTTATAGTAAGCTTGTTAATCTACCCATATGTGTGATGCACAGAGGCCATGAAGAAGAAAAGCAGGTTGCTTACCTGTAACTGATGTTGTTCGAGTGGCCATCTGTGCAGTCACACAACCCACCCGCCGGCCCCGCTTGGTGTCGGTGAGTGGACATATCGTAGGTACCGAAAGTTTCCCCTTTTTTCATGGTACCGATCTTTTTTCCTATCTCATACTTGCAAGTTTTCCACATGGGGGGCATACATTTGGTCGTCAAAGACTGAACAAAATGGCAGACGCTCCGCTCTTTATAGGCTATGTGGGAGGGGAAGCGGAGCTTTTCCCGCCAAAAACCATTAGCTTGCAATCTTCCGGCCAAAGGCACTGTGCAGGCGCAGCACCCATATGTGTGACTGCACAGATGGCCACTCAAAGAACATCAGTTACAGGTAAGCAACCTGCTTTTCTAAAGCTTCCTGAACGATATGAGCGTTTATTAGCAGCGCTGGGAGGGGCCAATTGCCACCCCTTCCTCACCATCCCTCTCAAATGCACTGAAGCAGATTTTCAAGTGGTCCAAAGGGCTACAGGAGGACAGCAAGAGTCCCATTAGATTTGTGGATTTCTGCAGGTATAACACTGGATTTAACAGCTTGTTTTGTTGTTTTGACTGACCTGCTTGAATGCATAGGCCATCTGTTACATGGTCCCTGGTGTCCTTTAAAGGTGAGAGTAGAACTACAGGGCCTGCAACACCAGTATTTCATCAGTGATAGCCCCTCCATTCATCAGTCTAAATAAGCTCACAAGCCCAAATTGCAGCACAGTGGACCATGAACCAAGAAGAGGCGGCAAGATGGAGCAAGGGAGGACTTGCTCAGATTTTTTGTGCCATATTCTGCCTCAAGGTCCATGCCTGTCTCTTGCACGTGGACTGCTCCATCCTTGTTCGGGGAAGTTCTAAGCATCCTTTCCTTACTTCTCAGTTCTTGATGCAGCTGTCTTCCCTTATAATTCTCCATTGCTTTGGGGAAGGACAGAATATACATCGTTTCTAAAAGACTTATTATTTGAAAGCGGATTAACTGGTGCATCGAATCCCTATTAAGTAGATACTGAATTCAGTGTTTCCTTGTTCAGGGCTGAATGACATTAACCAAAGAAGAAAGTAAAAGCAACTTGACACCCAGCTGGTTTGTTAATCTTTTTATTAAAAGAGTTGTCTCCCACAGTAGTAAAGCTTTGGCACTTACAGTATAAAAAATAATCACCAATCATAATTATACCAAATTCCTCTGTCAACAGTGTACTAAATGTCTTTAATATATTTTCCTGTAGAAAAACACTGAGGCAGGAGGGAGCAGGGGAAGGTAGATCAATGTTGATAAATAACAGTACGAAATACAAACATACCGCTTGGGAGAGAAATTAGGATAATTTAGAAAGGCATAGGACTGTGCATATGGTATGAATCACAGTGACGGGGTATGTGGTTCCTATTGACAGCTGCACAATTACATGTACTTAGAATTATGGATTGTCATTCATTCTTTTATGGTAGGGGAGCCCTTTCTCCCATCCCTCTGGGGTCCAATGTCTGTTTGCTGACAGGTGAGCAATTTGAGTTAGTATGGGGTTTCTTGTAGGGGTGGGGGAATACTGAATGGTACTGAAACTTGAGCAAAAACAGACAATATACAGCTATCAGTTGTGAAGAGAAGTTTTGAGACATTCCAAGATTGGCCTCCCTTGGAGAAGCTGTGAATTGCGCAAAAGCTGAGAAAGGGACTCTGGCCACCCTAAGAGAGAGCTGCTTTTTTCTGCAGTATGCTAGAGTGGATGGTCTTGGCACGTAGAGTCTTCTTGGCTAACGTTAAATCTTGATGCGTGTTAATCTCCCCGTCGGCTTTGTGCATCTGACAGTACATGTAAGGGGTAGAAGCACTCAATTGGACAATGGACGTTCTGCTGGAAGAAACACAAAGAAAAATTATTCCTCCCAACTCTACAAAGTGGCAAGTATCTTGCTCACCAGGTCGCAGGCAACTTGCATGAGTTCACAATTCATATTCAATTAGTGGATGACTTGAGGGTGGAGGGATTGGGGGTGAGAGCAGCTACTGGCAAAATCCTTAATCGGAAAGTAAACTGAACGTATCAATTCCAGCATTTCCAGCACAGATTATGATTCTGTGCACTGAGCCTTCACCTGGAGTAGATCAGCACAGTTCTACAGCAGAAAGCTGGAGTGTTTCCATCTCATTCACCAGGATAATATGGCTTATCTTGAGGCTACCAAAGTTGAACCTGAACAAATGCCCACTCTGAATACAGTCTTCACTTAACATCTGCCTTCTCCCTTGAACTCTTCTCCCATGGGATGTTTGTGACAGTCAGGCTAAGAAGGTCTGATTAAACATAGAAGCCTACTTGCAAAGTTTTACTTCCCAGAAATCATTTCAGAAAGCTATATTGATCTGGTTTTAAAACTGCTTTAAGCTTGATAGAAGGCCCTCCTCTGAATGACTACAAGCCTTTGATCAGAGGGCAAGCTTCAAGCTTACAGAACCTGCAGTGTGTTTTACTGGAACCCTCAAGATCCACCACCTGGAACCAGGGGCAAAAGGTACGCAATTAAGAACAAGGTGCCCCTGAGCAGCTGCCAAGGACAAGAATCTATTCTGAGCACGAGAGCTGAGCCCACAGTCCTTCCATGCACAGAACCCTGTACATGATTACACACACGCTTCAGTTTAAGTGTTTAATGTGTGGTGGGTGGGGGGGTGGACACATTTTGTTTTGCTGTTGTTAAACAAAGAATCCAGAAAACCTCACTTACCTACTGTATCACGTCCATAAGCCATCCCAAGATGTTTCATCGGGAAGGACGGGGTAAAAATGTTTTAAATGAATAAAAAATAAATCACCAGAGATCTACCAGTAGATCCCAAACTACTTTCTGCTTACTGCTGTTCTAAATGAAGACAGTCTAAGGGTGTGAACTGGTTCTTGGATGGGAAACTGCTGGGAGTCTGTTGGAAGAGCCGAGCAGTGGGCACAAGTGGTAAAAGCAATGTGCATTCTTGGCGACCAAGCTGAGCAGTGTGTGACAGCCACCTCTTGTTAGATGGATGGGAATTCTATACTTACAGTATTTGTGGTTTCTCGCTGTCTCTCAGAGTACTGTGAATAGGTATGACCAGGGGAACTTTCAGGTGAAGATCCCACACCAGGCCTACGGCAGTTGTCACATCGCCAGGCCTTAAAAAACAAACCAAGACAAGTACTACGCGTCACACAGGAGCTACAAAACAGATGTTAATGATGTATTAACTCATCCTCAACAATTAGTCTGACGGGCTTGATTTCACTGTATGGTGAGTGTGCGTGTATGCTCTGTTCCTTAATTATTCTGTTAGATTCAGAGTCAGTTCATGCACACAGGCAGGTTTTTTGCTGATTTAACTGAGGAGGGATTACGGAGTCCTAACTGTGCAGGACAGCAATGTGAGTTTGCAAACAGGCCAACACCATTTTAAGGGTGATCTTATTTTCACATGGTGGGTTTTGCAGGCAGAACCAGCAGTGGCACCCAGGCAGCTCTTCCTAGCCCTTCTACAACATTGCAACTTCCTGTTTCAGATCATTGTGGTGGCTGTGGAGAAGTCAAACAATATATCCTAAACATGCCTGAGGAGCAGGTCAAAAGTGCACAAATGTCACAAGTCTGCTCTTTTTAAATTTCATTTCACTTGCTCACTACCCTTAAGTTTCTCTTAAAGTGGGATAAATTCTATGACTATAAAACTACTGAAATCTGAATATTGCCTAAAATCAGTCATGTTTCTGAAACAATATCCCATTTCCTTCTTCTCTCTCTCTGATGACGCCCCTACCCATAGCTCTTATTGTTCATTATGGCACAGGTATAAAGATTCCCACCTGTTGTCCTCCATAGCATGTGCAAGAGCAGATGGCCCCAAGGTATTCTTTCTGCCACTGCTCTCCAACTCGGTAAGTCTTGCCCTCATCATAGCAAGTCGCTTCATCTGGAAGAGAGAGAATTAGAGGAACAAACAGTGCTTTGTTAATTAACATATACTTTGCCAATGTGAGAGCCCACTTAGAACTTTTTGTCAAAAGATGTTCATAAAAAAAAGGCAAGTGGTACTGGCAATGCAGGCATGATTTTCTTCAGGACCTCTTGCATCTGATACATTCTACACAATAGGTGCAAAGAGGAGAAAGTTGAGCCCTTTTATAGAAAGGAAAGACATGGTGGTTGCTGTACCAGTTCCCATCAGCCCCAGCCAGCAGGGCAAATGGTCAGGGTTGCTTGGAATTGGGCTCCAGCAGTATCTGAAGGGGCAGAAGCTCTCTGCTATATGGCTTTCAGCACAGGCCTCACAGCCATGGAATTATATACAGTGCTAAGTTTGTTTTAAGTCTCATTCATTTCTATGGGTCTGTTCTCAATATGACTGACAGTGAATGCAGCCCAATAACCTGATGGTTCTTCTGTAGAAAGAACCACCTAAACTGGACAGAAACGCAGTCCCTGTGGCGGCCACGGTAGAAGGAGTGAGCAGTCACAGCCAGATTTCTCTCATGAGGTGTCCTGCTCTTTTGATGCATGAAAACACTTCTGTGATGGGGGAAAACATACTGCTGTTCAGCCAGCACAATCCAGCCTGTCATACAGGAGACATTTTTGCTTAACTATGTTGAATTCTGAAAGAAAACCCACCGCATTTCCCCCTTTAGTACTTTTTATGGCAAGTACACCACCAAAGAAGGAGATCACGCTGCACAATGGAAGTGCAGAGGATGTTACTGTTAGACAGCAAGAAGAGCACTACCCATACGTACGAGGTTCACACTTGAATTCTCCTTTTCCATTTCCAAGGCACGTGCAGCTCATCATCTGCCCGTTCTCTCCCTGCCTGTCCCACTTCTCGCCAATCTTATAGTTCACACCGTTGTCATGGCACCATTCTGGGTGAAACAAAGGAGTGGCCAATCAATAGAAAGAAGCTAGACCATCTGGAAGTTCAGCCACTCTCAAACACCATTGGGAAACATGGTAACTACTGGAAGTCTGAGTCTTTTTGGACTTAGGTTGCTTCTGGAGGGCCGTAGCATTTGTTGGTGGGCTTGTTATACCAAACAGTATTTTACCAAGTGATAGATAGACAGGGATTGGGGATTAAAAGAGGAATTGGTTACAAATTTGGTCTCAAAAAGTTATTATTTGTCTGCTGGATGATTATGCAAGCAAAAATTCTAGGGGGTTTTAGCTACATTCATTTGCTGCTAGTATCCATGTTATCCTGATTTGCACCCAATTCCACAACTATTTATATAAGCACTTATTCCAGGGTAAACAAAGAGTGCTTGATTTCACTGGGGGTTCACTTTAGTCTCTGATTCAGCCCTCGGATTTCAAAATGAATTAGATGATAAAGTGAATTCAAGTGGTAATTAACATTATTATAGCAAACCCTACTTGACCAAAAGTTGCTTGGATATATGAGCAGGCGATAGGCGGGAAATGGAGGCCATAATTCATAGAAAGCTCTTTGGCCAGTTATTTATGTTTAAGCAAATGTTATCAGCTTGTATTCAGGCTATCAGTTGCTAACCATGATTTAGTACTACATTCACCAGCAAATGGATCCTGCAGAAAATTACGGCATGCTCTTCCTCCCATGTGCCTGGGAGGGCAGAAAAACTAGAATTCAGTTTCACTTTAGTGGATTCTGGGCTTTATTTTGAATTACAATTTCTATGCAAACCAGCAATCATAATAAATTATGACAAGCCAGCAGTAAGCCCTGGGTTATTTTGACGGCTTGTTTAACAGTATTCAATGTTATAAATCAAAATTCCTAGCTCTTAATAACCAGGAATCTACCAAGCAAAACTGGATTCTGCCTCCTCCTTCTTCCCAATCTGAAGGCAGGGGAGGGGGAAATGTATGAATCTTGCAAGTCCCATGGACTCCTTTTGGCTTGCGCATGGAGTGCTACATTAGCATAAAGGCTGCCAAACAGAGAATGGGGGGGGGAGAGCCCTAGCTCATGACTTATTTCATTTTCCAAAAGCATGTGAATACAAACCCATCACTAGAGTAAAAAAGTCTTGAAGGAAATAAGCTTGTCCATTGGTAAACCAAAGTTAATGTATGGGTGCTGTTTCATTTAGCATGCTGGGTACTGCTTGAAATTTCAAAGGCGGAGCAAATGGATACACCTACTCACTTGAAGAGTCGCACCTGAAGTGTCCACTGCCAAGGCCTAAGCACTGACACCAGAGTTTAAATCCGGTTTCAGACATCCTTTCCCATTCATCCCCAACAGAATAGAAAGAGCCAGTGAAAGTGTCATAGCAGGAGTCATCCGTGGGTTGGGGCAACCTTTCAGACACTGGAAAGCAGAGAGAATGAGAAATGGTATGACAACATGCAACACTCTCAGAGAACAACTTTCCCCCACAAAAGTTCCAGTAAAAATGAAGCCTCCTTACACTAATAAATAGATCTGCACTAATCATAATCTCCTGAGACCAGGTTATGGTTTGCAATGCTCCACTGAGACAGGCTTTGTCTCCCACTCAGACTCTCTAAAGACGTTCCCAAATGCTGTTTCTTGAATTCATGTCCCAGCCTGCATGACAATGAATGATTCTAGCTAAAGCAAAGTGGGAGGCATGCACTGAAGGCTCGTCCTAGGGCCCCAACCCAGCAGAAAAAAGCCAGCTGCTTTCCCTTGAAGTGCCAGTGCAGCAGGGTGGGCTGCAGCAGGACAAGGGAGACTGGGGTTCAGTGCCAGTCAGCCTTGCATGTGACCTTGCATCAATTACTCTTATTGATAATTCTTATTCTATTACTCTTATTCTAGCCTACCTCAGAGTCGTTGCGAACATAACCATGTTCCCAGAGAATGAACAAACTATACCCCAGCAAAACTAAGATGAAATGAATGCCCACATGAAGAGGGGAGCCCTTCTCCTAAATCGTCGTGTTCCCACTCACCAGCATTGCCTGCTGTGATAGTCTCCTCAAGAATTTTATGTCTTTTCCGATTTTTAATGGCTTCTACTATGATGTTGTAGGTAGCACCTCTAGTAAGACCAGTGAGAGTAGCGCTAGAATATCTGCCAGGAATGGTCACCTGTGGTTTAAGAAAATGCAAAGCATAAAAATACTGCACATTTTGCTTTCTAAAGAACAGAAGGCTAGCTCCACAATGGCTTTATAGCAAGTCGAATCTCTACCGCAGGTTTAACATTTTGTATAATACATCCGAAGTCAAGGTGGAATGATGTCAGCTGGGAATGATGGAGGTTTCAGTCCAACATACCCAGAAGGCTGTGTTAGGGTGTGGGCAGTCACATTATTGCTTGGCCTGCTTTTTGATGCCCATTTGGCCTAGGTAGCCTGCCATTCCTGGAGCAGTGCAACAGGTGCACAGATCACAGTGCCAACCATGTTGCTAGACCTTAAAGAAAAATGCGTAAGACTGGCTAGCAAACATTTCCACTCCACAACCACCTGCACACTCACAGAATGTGTTCCCAAGCAACTGAGGACTGAAAACAGCGATAAGCAACACAACATTACTGAGCGATCTGAGTAAACAGTACTCGGGTCACCTGCCATGGCTGGCAAATTCGAAGACCAGAATTTAAGAACCACTCACATAGTACATCATCAAAATGGATGCCAGCGAAGCCTTATCAGGAAGCCCATTTTGGAGTCGCAAGACCACATACTGCTCTGTTTTATGAGCAAGTACTGAATGATGTCCTGTGCCAGGTGGGAATACCTGGCAAAGAGCATTCTCCCTCAGTATTGTAGCTAACTCTAGGATTACAGCAAAAGTATTCACCTGACAATTTTCTCCCTATGCATCCAGAAACCCTGCGTCCAACAAGAGGTACTTATGCAAGTTTTTGTCCCAAGCTCCAAAGGAAGCACATCTTACACCTTTCTAAGTTAGTGGATCATTTAGCAGAACTGATCTCAAGAATAATAAGCAACTGTTGATTAACATATACTTTTTTATAATACATAAGCCTGTGCTACGTTCAACGGCAGGAGTACTGTTCTCAGTCCTCTGAATGAAGAAAGTCTTTTCAAATGATTTAAGTCTGAAGTTGACCATGGTTATTCAGAATGCTTGTTGACATCGCTAGACTATTTTCAACTAGACAGTCTTAGGATGGCAGCCTGCTGCCCTGCTCTTATACATGGTTATTAAGATAGCAACCCTACTGAGTTCAATAGGGCTCATTTCCTTAGAATTGTACCCTCATTTTTTCACTTGTACTATGTTAAATGTGTCCAGCTACCTCAGACAATGCTCAAAGCATGTTCTTTGTTTTTTCATAGTTACAACTCTTGTCTGGATCCTTTGCAGATTTAAATTCAGGTCTGCTATGCAGCTTCTGTCTTGGAATCATCATTACTTTGCTACTGACAGTCCTCCAATAAGCAGGCATTAAGCCTAAGGAACAGCGTATCTGAATCTAAAATACTGGCCACAAAGCAGCCTTTTTGGACTGCCTGTGGGAGGCTGATGTCTGTTTCTACAACTATTGTTTTTTTCCTTTTCTATAGCCAGTCTCCACGAACACCTTCATTTACTTTCATACAGAAAGCACGCTTTTTTCGCAGGCCTGAGGCTTCTTTCCTGATTCCTCCATCCCTGTTGTAACTAAGATGTTACATGGAAGCATTGGCCACCCCGTGTTTCCCTCACCAGGTTTTAGACTGCAAGCCCTGTGGGGACATGGAGCTGCTCGGTTTGCCTGTAAAGCTCTGCATGGCACTTCTGACAGGGAGAGAGCTGTTCAAGCAAAAGCAACAACGAAGATGGCAATAGCAACAAGCACAACACAGTTTCACTGATGCAGGAACATTCAGAAAGAATCTAAAAGACATCACCTCTGTAGGTTCTTCATCACTGCCAGTAGGCTGGCAAGAGATAATATATTCAGAGCTCTCTGAATAGGGTGTCCACGAGATGGTTGTCTGAGAAAGGGCTTCTTGGGGCCTTGTATGGTTACTTATGGGGCGAAGGGTGTGAGGATAAGAAGGTCTGTCTGCTTCTGGGATATGCGCTGGATTAAGGTTCACCACGACGGGTTGCTCATGCACGTTTGGTCCTTGTCTAGCTGGAGTTGCTGGAGTTGCTGGTGTCCGAGACCCATATACCTCCACGATGACTTGCTGGCCTGGGTTGCTCAGGATAGGCTGCTGACCAGATGTGCCTGGAAGTTGGATACCATTTCCACTGTCATATGGGTTGTTTGTGAGGTAAGGTGTGTTCTCTGCACTTGAGGACACGTCCAGGGTCCCGCTTTGGCCAGGGTGTGGAATTGTGACCAGCCGTGGAAGCTCATCTAGCCAAAGAGATGTTAGAAGCACTAAAACAATGCTCCAAAGCCCCAGCAAGCACCACATTCATTACAGAATAAGCCAGGCAGCTGTGCTATAAAACACAGGCTAATTCCGGCAATTAAGCATTAGCAGTGTTCTCAGGGGTGCAACATGCTCCTTAAAAGCCCTATCACAATTACTCTGCAGTGGCTTCTTAAGAGCACTTGAATTGGAAGGCAAAGGCATGTGGCTGCAGAACTAAAGCAGAAACATTGGGTGAAGAGTGTTGTACCAGTTTAAGATCAAAGCAAAGAAATCTGATTGCCAGCAATGCTTTTCTTCCTGCTAAATTTTAAAAGAATTAAATTTACATGTTTGGACTTCTTACTACCATGTTCTGTCATGTAAATGCATTTTGACTACATAGACAAATACTGTATCCTGAATTATTCCTCGGGCCAATTTAAAGAATCAGTTGTTTCAGGAAGAAAGCCCCTGAATCTCTCACTGCAGAAACTGACCATGAATCTAGAGTTTGAACTCAACTGGAAAGTAGCAACAAAAGCAGCTTTTGAGTCCATTTCTTTCCTCTCTGGATAGGTAATCACATACAGTCTAAAGGAGCTGTTTCATTTGATGGATGGAATAGATAGTTTCAGAAAAACAGAATGCCTGATGCATCACCGATTGAGAAAAACAGTCTTGATCATGGAAAGGCCAGCTGGTCATGCCTAGAGATCAGCATATAGCAACTGCTGCAAATCACTCAATCCATGGAAAGGTAGAAGGAATATGATCCTGACAAACTTTAGCACTTTCAGTTCTATTAATTCAGTGAAATCCATTCCAATTAAACCTCGGGGCTATTATCCTATTTATTGCAGTGCATCCCATGGAAAACAGTGTGGCTTGCTTCCGCATACATTTGTAAAGAGCTGCATGAATTTGGACTGGACTGTATTTTTAATGTGGCTTTTACTGCATTCAGAGGCTGGCAACCACCTTAATTCAGCTATCTTTATAGTACAAAAATCATGAGGCCAAAAATAGAAGGAAACATATGATAACTCCAGCCAAACTTATTGTTAAAGCATATCTGGATTTGCAGTTAAGATTCTTCTGTATCTTGCAGCTTATTTAAATGATAAGTGTATGCAGTAGCACATCTCAAACACATGAAAGTTAAGCAGTGCTGTAATATCAGTTTCCTGAAAACAACATGGATGGAAATCCAGAGTAGAACTGCATTTGACCTCTCTTTCATGGGCATGCCTCCAAAAACAGAAGGAAATTCACGCACGTCTACTCACAAGACTCACTGAATTCAGTAGGACTTACTTATAGGTAAGTGGTATTACCCCTTGGTAAGCCTAAGGCAAGGTTACCTGTTCGTTTCTTTCCAATCAATGGCTCACTCTTCTGATTATTTTTTACAGCAATTATGTGGATTATGTATTCTGTTCCTGGTTTCAGGCCTGGCAAAAGATTGGAAAAAGTCAAGTTTTCAAATATACAAGACTCAGTGCAGTATTCATGGTCTAAAGAAGCCGTGCCCACCATTTGCCCCCACTTTTTCTGCCCTCTAGTTAACAAGCTACTATTTAGGCAGCTATTTAAAATGATGGAATGAGGATTCTCTGACTGAATCATGCATTGTGTATGGTTTCTATCTGATTTGGCTATCTGTTGTTATAGCCTTATTGCTTTTACATTATTGAATATTGTTCATTGTTTGTTCTATCATTTTAGATGTTATGAGCCACTTTCAACACTGCAGTTAAAGTAATATACAATGTAAATGTATCTAATTTGGATATACTAAAAAGGTCCACACACTGAAACAGCAAAACCAGAATGGGGTTAGTCGCTCTTCCTGGCATTCTCCAGGACCTCTC